AAGCTGAATTAAAAAATGATATTAAATCCATTTCGAAGGTAAACGGCTGTCTACCATGGACGTTCAAATGGACCATTAGAAAAGAAAAGTGGGCCATTTTGTAAACCTATCTAGTTTTTTGTGTCAGAGGATACTACTAACTCTACAATAACTCTTTCTGGAAGTGTTTTTTTAAGAGGCTAGAGACAAAACATTCTATTGGGGGTCGTCAATTAATCGAAAAAACGTGAATTTTTTTGAATTTGGTTAATGTGCCAAAACTAAGATCAAAACTAGTCATCTATCTGAAATACAGTGCTTGTGGTAAAACGTGTGTAAAATCATAAAAAGACATTTTGTAGGAAAATGTTTGCTCTACATCTGTAATGACTATAGGTTCAGATCTTTGACATTTGTATCAAATTCAGAAAACTAAGAAAATGATGAAACCCAGACTTATCTCTAGTATTTGATATAAAAGTATATCATGACGTCTTTAAAAATGTTCTGTTGTATATGAATCGATGCAGAATTGTCCGCTCTACAAAGCGAAGCTAGATTTATTTTGGGACTGCCATATGCGTGGTCTTTTTTTAAAAAATTCCAAGATTAGTGAACGTTTATGTTTTTTCGATTAATCGGCGACCCCCAATAGAATGTTTTGCCTCTCGTCTCTTAACAAAACACTTTCAGAACGGTTATTACAGGGTTAGTAGTCATTCTGAATGCTCTTTCGAATGACAAGTGAATAATTAAAAAAAAGAATTTGCCAACGGACAGTATGTTCGGTGCTGTGGCGGAGACTCTCTTAAGATGTCACGTAACAGTGATAATATTCTTTCTCGGTACTGAGTATACACAAATTACAAATCCTCGCATACTTGAAAATCCTGTGTTCAACCCGGCCCGACCAAAACACTTTTCGGCCCAAGCCCAGCTCGATCTGACCACTCCATTGATACGGCGGTTCTATTCCCTGACTGACCTGGCCCTTGCTGATTTCTGGTATCAATGGCATTGTATGCTTCATGAGCCCAGCTTTATAATGCTTCCAGTGCTGACATTTACAATACTGCAAAAAGCGTTTCGTAATTTATATGTTTAAACAGTTTGAAAGTTTGAAAGTCATTGGAATAACAATTATTGCACAATACAGAGCAGAGGCGAAAAAGTCGGAATTCTGCTCGCAGTTCTTAATTTCCTTGATCAAAAGTCAACTTTTGAACAATAAAAGTATCATATTCGGAATTAGGCATGCAACGGTTACGGTTATTAACCGTCAACCGTAACAACGGTTACGGTTATTAACCGTCAACCGTAACAACGGTTACGGTTATTAACCGTCAACCGTAACAACGGTTACGGTTATTAACCGTCAACCGTAACAACGGTTACGGTTATTAACCGTCAACCGTAACAACGGTTACGGTTATTAACCGTTAACCGTAACCGTAAATGACGGTTTTATAACAACTTAGTTTATATTTGATTTTTAGTTCGTTGATATCGGTTCACATTAGAAGTAGGCAACGATGGTCTTTGTCCTGACGTTATAGTGTATCTACTAATAAATTTATGAAAATTCTAGAGAATAGGTAGTCGACTATGAGAAATCCGAAAATGAGTATGAGAGACCTATAGAACGTATTCTATTGGTTAGAAACGTCCTCTTGGATTCCGGGATCTCATAAACACACTATTCAAGGAGAGACAAGCGCTACTTGTTCGCTTATCGTGAAGGTTTCGGTCAAACACTTGTGTCGTACAACGGGCGGAGCGAGCGGTGGATAGTGAGAGTGACTCATGGAAGCCCGGAACCCTAGGCCCGTAACGAAGTCTCGTAACAAACACGTTCTTGTGTCGACGTGCGATTACTGCACTCGTGACTTTCGTTGCTATTTTCGGACCCCGAATAGTCGAGTGTCTATTCTGTACCATTTTCATCCAATCCGATCAAAAGTAGGCTTCTGACCAATAGAATGCATGCTAGAGGTCCCTTATACTCATTTTCGAATTCCGCATAGTCGATTATCTACCCCCTAGAATTTTCATAAATTTATTAGTAGATGCACTATAACGTCAGGAGAAAGATCATCCTTGCCTACTTCTAATGTAAACCGATATCAACGAACTAAAAATCAAATATACACTAAGTTGTCATAAAGCGGTTATTAACGGTTACGGTTATGACCGGTCACGGTTAACCGTAACCGCTGCATGCCTATTCAGAATCAGGATAAAAAACTGAGTCGAATGACGTGTATTTAGAAACTTTTAGTTGATTTTCAATTTTGGGTGAAAATCCCGGTAATTTTTCAACGTGAAAATTCAAAAAAAATGAAAGTACTCGGATAAGATAGAAATACACGTCATTCGACTAAGTCTTTTATCTTGATTCCGAATATGATACTGTCATTGTCCAAAAGTTGACTTTTGATCGGGGAAATTGAGAATTAAGAGCAGAATTCCGACTTTTTCGTCTCTGATTTAAAAAAAATGAATTACTCAGCAGCGAAACAAAATTTAAAAACAAAAAGTTATACTTTTAAAGCTGGGCTCACGGCGCATACAATGCCATTGATACGACGGTTCGATCCCCTGACACAAAAAACTAGATAGGTTTACAAAATGGCCCACTTTTCTTTTCTAATGGTCCATTTGAACGTCCATGGTAGACAGCCGTTTACCTTCGAAATGGATTTAATATCATTTTTTAATTCAGCTTTTAAGGCTGAATAACAAAAAATAGTTTGAACCTTCCGATTAGAAACCCAAGTTGAAATATTTCACTTTTTCGAACATCGACGTTTTTTCGTTTCTTTACAGCCCTGGAGTTTTTTTTAATTTTTCGAACCTGAAAACGAGCAATAAAACTAGAGGCGCATATATTCTTGATCGCTTTGAAGTCCTTGAATGAATTTGAATTTGAAGTGCCCCTATCCAAATATGTATGAAAAAACGAAAAATAAATTTCACTTGAGTATTGAATTAGCACGACCTTAGTTACAGGCTGATAGAGTCCGATCTTCAATTTAGACTTTAGATTTTTAATCAGACAGCGTTTTCTGGGAAACTCCAAAGGAATTTTGCAAGTTTTTAAGGAAAAAGCGTTACCAAAAATCGGTAAAATGGCTATTTCACGTAACACTGCTACCGGAAGCTTAGTGCATTACCATTTTCTTGGGGAACCTCAAAACGTTATAATTTTTTAAGAAAATGTTGTGGAGAGCTGCAGAACATCTCATTAAAACGAAGATTCAAAGTTCTTAAAAGCTTGATCTAAGCAAACGCCTGGAAATGTTTTATTTGGGCGAAACGAGATTGATTTTTTGGCCACTTGATTTTTTTCAAGATAGAATCTTCCACTTATCTTGATATATTCTTTGAACAAATCATTTTCAGACGCTTGCTTAAATTCAGTTTTTAAGAACTTTTAATCTTCGTTTTAATGAGATGTTGTGCAATTCTCCACGAGTTTTCCTTAGAGAATTATAACTTTTTGAAGTTCGATAAATATGTTAATGCACCAACCTTTCCCGTAACAGAGTTATGTGGAATGGCCGAAAAGGAAGGATAAGAAATCCGACTCTGTCAAACTGTAGCTGTATGTGTTCGGCAAAGATAAATGAATATCCGAGCTCTCAAACACTTATCTGCACAAAAATGTTTTGGGAAATGTCAAAAGTTCCGTTTTGACCAGTTAAGTTCGGAATCTGTGCACCTAGGAACCAAAAAATATTTCGTGTTAAAAACGTTTCTTGTTAGGTCTAATAATCGCTGAAACTTTCATGAAGTTCGGGTGTGTGATTTCCCAAATAGGTTTCTGAAATAGAGGGCAAACGGCTTAAGATTAGTGTTTATGCTCTCATTTTAGGATGTGCGCAACTAGAACAACACGATTTCATCTAGATTTAGCATTTAATGATGTTTGGAACTGCATGCAAATATTCTCGAGTTTTCCAAGAGTGATGGCTTTATGTTCAGAAGGACGAGTGAAACATCAGAGATCGTAATATACTTACACGACATTACTGCGATGAATGTAACTGTACCTATTGTGAGAAGAACAGCGGTCGTGAGAAGAATGACAATAACACGTCCAACTGGTTTTTTTCTAGTAGGTGAAAACAAGAGCAATATGAGACCACAATATTTTAAGTAGATAAGTTACTTACATGATTGACCGTTGTTTGGTTTCCTAACCAAGAAAGTAATAAAAAATTTAGTAAGTGTTTTTAATACTACTAGTTCTTACCGATGCTACAAGACTTTCTGTATTGGCCACATTGTCAGATGTTTCAAGTTGAGACCAACGTCGAAAAATATTAACTAGAGTTGGTAGCATGAATTCGAATGCTGTCGTCAGACCGCCAAAGAGTCCAATAATCGTGGTTGAAACAGATAATAAATCATAACGTTTGACATAGGTATACGTGCAATATTTTGGCAAACATTCATTATAATATTTATCAAAAAAACTCTCAATATTCCATTGTTCAATCATCAATTTACTCAAAATATGTTTGATTGTCGTATTAGGTTGAAACTGACTTGTTGGCCAAATCGAATTAATAGCGGTTATATTAGATCTTGCTGAAATCATATTTATACACGTTTGATCGTATAAACATTCTAATGACGACTGAAGAATAGTCTCAATTGGTAAACAACCGATATAGAAACCGGATATCACTGTGTTATTTAGTATAGCTGATTCGATACATGTTGACGTTCTTGCACAATCGCATTGGCCACTGTTATATTTGACATTTTCAACTCCCAACCTAGGATTTTTGATATAATCATTGTCTTTGATGTACCATCTGAAGTTTGTTTCGTACGCTGATATAAATTGATTTGCGCTAATTGAATCTTGAATTAAATTAAATGCTTCTAGAAAAGTGTTTGCCATCTGAGTTTGAAATTTATCGACGAATGATGATATTTGATATTCAAGTAAAGGTGGTGGAACGAGTGTTGAACTGATTAAATAAGTTGAATAAAATAGTTCAAGCGAATCAGACACAGTCTGATTTGCTAATTTACAAAGAAGAGCAAGCGCTTGAAATTGTGATGTGTAATATAGAATATCATCGTTATTAGACAAATGATCGATCCATTGTTGTGTGATGAATACACTTGAACATAGATAGTGATAAGAAGGTTGAAGTCGAATAAATTTATCGTATTTGACGGATAAGTGAGAACAGTGACATTCGAGATTTTGTGAATATTTGCTACGTAATTCAAGATATTTTGATAAAGATGGAGAATCAAAAATAGTTGTTTTTGTTCGTTGTAAAACGGCGTTATAAACAGTCAAAACATACAATGTTACCGCTAATAAAATGACATACAATCGTGTTGTACGTCTCTCATATCGTACATCTTCATCTGTGGATAATGTACTTTCAAACAAATTAAATTCAATGATTTGTTTACGGATAAATCGCAAGATAGTCTTCATGGAGAACTGCACATGTGCTGGCAAGGATCCATCTTTAAGAAAGTACTTTTCTACAAAAGGAAGAGAAAAACAACACATATACCAACATCCAAAGCCTTACTTTCGGTACTATATATAGTCGCCAAAAAAGAAGACTAGTGGTTGTTTCTTTAATAACTTGACAACAATAAGTGCTAAAGACCTGTAGTTTTCAGCAATCGCAAGTAGAGAGTTGTAGCTAACTTTTCATAAGCAAACGTTGGTTTTTAAAAGCTGTTAAAGACCGTTTTTTCAGAGAATCTTTGAAAAGCTACCTTAGATCTCTGGAAACTGACATAATAGTCTACCGGTTTTGTTTTTATAGACAGATGCTCCAAAGCATCTCCCACGAAACTCGACTTAAGCAAAAGCTTGATTCTGTTCAGCTCACGTGAATCCGAAGTTTCCAATCTTAGAACTGTTTTACCATTAGGTGTGAGAACCTTAAAAATACAGGGAAACATAGGATAGCGACTATGCTGAATCTCGTGGCAACATTTATTTTAAAAAAACGTAGCGAAAACGTATATTAGGTGAAATATTCCATTTTAGCCCATTTTTGAGTAAAATCAAAACAATTGAGAATCAGTCATAATCCATCCAAATTATGTCAAAATATCAACATGTACTCTATTTCACATGCTCAATACTATGCAGTTCAATAAACGCTTTAATAATAAGCAGAAAATGTCTCACCTCTATCATGACTCTATTCAAATTTCATTTGCTCGAGTTAAATTGTTTTTTTAGAGATGCACAAGATCCTTAAGGCCTTGCCAGCTAACGATCTTCTTTTTTCGCTCTTTTTCAAAGAACTATGGCAATAAAGTTAGAAAATAATCTAAAACTGCAACTATAGAATCATGTAGATTGAACATTTCTGTATGAAATGAAAAGTGTCTCGGCTCTAAATGTTGATTTGTTATGGCAATACAGCTGTTCTACAAACAGCCCAAAAAATCGGTTTTGGAGCTATCTGAAGTCACTTTTTAAGTTCGAAACTATTCCAATTAATCTGTATTACGCAAAGAAAAATCAGAGAAACCTTGACGCTGTGACAAAAAATGGTCAAAAGGAGTAAAACAAGTTTTACAAAATTATGAAACAAAATATATGGATAAAATTCTGCATGACTTGAGAAAAATTTTGTTGAGTATTCTTGCCCAATCAATTGTATGAATGAGTGACGCTTTTGAGTACGAAATGCTCTAAGGAAGAAAATATTTAAGACGTTCAACATGGGTCTCCAAGCTAATTCAGATATAGAATCTAACAAGTTTTCATAAGGTTTCTAGAAAAAAATTTCAGTTTTGAATACACTATTTTGATCCGCTATTGAAAATGGACAGCTACATCCGGTACTAGGGATCTTCAGGGATGGTTTCCGAAATCTTTAGAATTTAAGTGACTGTCTGAGTTCGAGAGATGTAAACATAATCTCGAATTATTTCTAAAACACTTAGACATTTTGAAAAATGTTTGTCTGGCATCGACAAGTAAAATGAACGCTTACTTTCAATTTTTGTTCGAATGACCATTAGGTATGGTGTGATGATTTGAAATATTGTTATCAGTCCGCCAACTAAACCGATTGCTGTTGTTACTATATAAATATAATTATTTCGTGCATTGATTGTGTAACGACAATATTCTGGTTTACAAGCGAGGTAATAGGCTCGAAACGATATATTTTTGTTCCATATTTCTACCATTAAATTTAGAACAATATCGTTGATTTTCGTAGATGATCGATATGTAACCAATAGAGATGGATCGAGGGGTAAAATGTCCGTATTGGAATGGATGTACGATTTGATTATTGTTAAACAAGTGTTATTATAAAAGCAGTCTAAAGTTGATGATAAAAGTCCATCAAGTAAATAACATCCACGAAAAAAGTTTGGCACAATAAATAGACGGATAAGATCTTCATCTCGAATATACGTTTCACCAAGACATTTTGAATTATTCAAACAAGAACAGTTAGTGCCATTCATCTGTTCAAATTTTCCAATAATTGATGTTAATTTATTTGTAGTTTGATTCCATTGAAATTCTGTTACAACAGAGGTAAATAACTGATTTACATGAATTGAGTCACGCGTCATTGATAATACTCGTGTAAATGTATTCGGCACTTGTTTCTGAAACATGTTAATACTAGATTCTATTTCTGATTTGAATAATGAAGATGGTAATACTGTTGGAGTGATGAAGTCAATTGAATAGAACTGAACTAGGGCATCTGCAATTGTATCATTGGCCAGTTGACAGAATGTGGCGAGTATGCGAAACAACGGTGCACCATGCAAACGAAAATCATCCAAGTAAAGTACTTGACGTTGAACATATAGGAAATCGAACCATTTATTCGTGACAAATACACTCGAACATACTTGATGGAATAATGGTTGAAGATCGATAAATTCACTGTACTTAATTGCTATTCGAGAACAATGGCATTGAAGAGAATCAGAGTATGTTTGCTGTAATCGTTCATATTGCGAGAGAGTAGGTGATTTCTGTTCGTTTATTCTTGTTTGTTTCACTACTGTCGTGTAGATAACAAGAATAGAAAATGTTATTGAAAATAGAATTAAAAATAAACGAGTTGTTTCTCGTTCCACTTTAATATCTTCGTCATCGGTTGACCGACTTTCAAATAAATTTAACGTTTTTATCTGATCGTTTAAGTTTTCGACTAGAATTTTGAATTGTATTTCTAAAAACAATCGATATCAGGGTGATTGTTGTATATCTGTACCGTTTGGTCTGAATATAATCATCTCAAATATTAATATACCATCTGTTTAACTTATAAAATCGATTAAGTTTTAATCAGATGCTACACCTTTCGGAAAATACTGAGAATTTTATTTTTTATTTATACGAAAAATTTCGGGAAAGTGCAGTCCACAGGACTCTAATGCTGACCGCTGTAATTTAGTTCTGTTGCATATATTCTTCTAGCTTCTATAATTTTGGTTTTATAGACACCAACACAATGAGATGGTTCCCGTCGGAGATAGGCAAACATCGGTTATAGCCGATAAATTTCATCTTTCTACTGAAACGGATTACATAAAAAGTACGCATACCAAAACTTTTCTAACAACTGCGTTTTGTAGAACAAACATTTTTCTGCAAGATAAACCATGGCGAAAGCCTTCATGTTTTGAATTACTGCTGCAATCGCTTTTCAACGAAGAACCCTAAATCGGTTAGAAGCGATCATGAGACTATTAAGAAATCTTTTTCTTACAAGTACTGGATCAAGACGACACCGCAGCCCTCTTGCAGAAACATGTTAGCTCAACAGATCCCAATTGTTAGAAAAATTTTAGAGAACCAGTTTTCGGGGTCGTGTGCTTTATTCGTTTTTAACATAATAATACAGACAGGCTACTAGATCTTTCTTCTCAGGTTTCCGGAAGTTTCTTTCCTTCGATCCAGACATTTAACTACTACGCAGAAATCTACTTCTTTTGTCATATCTTCTGTAAATTGATGTATGTAGCGAACGAAAGACGCTTGATTTGACGACTTCCGGAAAATTCACTATAACATCTTAGCCATAGCCCTTTCAAGAGTTGAAAGATATCTCATTTTGAAGAAAACACTTTGCCCTATGTTGTGAAATTAGTTTCAAAAGGTTTTTATTTTTGAGCTTGGAAAGACGGCCAATTTTGAGATCCGGCTATTTTGAGATCCTTCTAACAAAATAGAAATTCTTCTTTGATTAATAGAAAACTTTTTCTTAATTAGCAGTTTGTGACTGTGACGGTAGTGCCTTAATAAACAATAAAACAAAAAGCTTAAAAGGGCAATTGGCGGTAAGATCATTTTTCATATCATACTTTTTTGGCGAAAAAAGCACATGGTTGTAAACAGCATCGAATTCTGAACAAAATAGCTGATTCAGTTATATTTAAAAAAATGTTTCACTTTTTTCACAAGATTTGGCCCCTACTTCCCTCCTCCCTTGGAACATCGAAAGTTTTGGTATCTCAAATTTCAACGGCAGATACATCATTCAATGCAGAATTTCGCGCTGATTACGAATATCGGCTTGATTTAACGCCAAAGCGTTACTAACATTTACCATATCACTTGTTTTAACTGATGGTATTTTCGCCCATCGTTAACTTTTCATCGTCAGCCGACTCACTAACGTGTTTCAAAATTTTGAAACACACTCAGTCGTGTTCAGAATTGATTTTTCAATTTAAAATATATCAAAATAAAAAATAAAAACACGGTTCTGTATTTTTCCAGGTCAAAAACTGAAAAACCGGCGAAAACTACCGTTTTTTGAAAACTTCGATCTGATATTATGGGAAAACAAAGTTTTGATCCCATGAGTAAAATACATGGCTCGACTCAGGTTTTTACGCTTTTTCAGATTATGGCCTCAAAATCGAAAAAAAGTTATCGAGCATGGCTAAAAACTGAATATACGTACATATGTTAGGAACAAAGTTAGGCGCATTTTATTTTCCTAGTGGAAAGTAGATTTGTGAAATACACCAATTTCCGTATTTTCATTGCACCGTTACGTAAGCGTCTAAGAGATCTGAGAGGCATCTCATCGTGTTTAGAATTGCATGGGCTATCGAATGGTGTGTTGAAAAGTGTTTTTCGTTGGTTTCTGAAACTTCTAGAATTTCTAAAAAACTGGATTTTTCAGAGATCTACCAAAAATTTCAATGTCCCAAGGGGAGAATAGGGGCAAAATTTTGTGAAAAAATGAAACTTGTTTTTGAAAAAATTTAATCGGCTATTTTGTTCAGAATTCGACGCTGATTACACCCATATGATTTTTTCGCCAAAAAAGTGTGATATGAAAAATGACCTTACCGCCAATTGTCCTTTCGACAATATCATGTCGCCTTTGACTTTTTCTCATGGCAACTTTGATCATGAGAATCGATAGTAATCATATTTCAAATTCAGATAAATTGTCTTATCCTGTCGATGTTGAAGTTTAACTGCCATTAGTTCTTTTTCTACGAGATCTATGAAAAACAAGATGCAAATTATATTAGCATCACCACTTACTCATTGCATTAGATCGTTTTTTCATTCTTCGAATGATAGTTATCATTAACGGTGTGACAATTCTTAACGTTGAAGTCAATCCACCCACAAGTTCAATGATTGTGGTCAAAATATGAATATAATCTGATCCTTTAACATAGGTATAGGTACAATTGAGTGGATTACATTGATGATAATAGGACGAATAATTGACATTTAAACCCCAGTCTTCAACTGCTAATTGATTCAGCAAGTCACGTACAGTCGCGTTTAATGGAAAGCGACTAGGCAACAACGAGTCAAGAGCACGAGCGTTCATTGGAGATGACGAATTTATGTTAGATTGGATAGTGTCGATACACGTTTGATTATAAAAACATTCAATTGAAGATTGACGTATCGATTGAATGGGTAAACAACCACGATAAAAGTTTGGAATGTCAAATAGACTTAATCCATTATGATAGAATGATAGTTGCCAAATACAGGTTGGGGTTATATCACAGCTGCAATCTGTGTCGCCAAATATAAGATAAAAGTACAACATGTCAAGTGTTCCACTTTCGTCACGTAGACCTAGAAGAGAGACAATAATTCCTTAAAGACACAGTACAAATACAATGTATGATTGATGATGTGTAGAACTAATACTGATAGATAGAAAGTGTTACAAAAATATTAAATACCACCAGACTTGTTGTTCTACAGAAACCGATCCATGAAGTACGCAGCACTATTTTTTTTCAAACATCAATCTTTTTCATCAGAAAAGTAGCACTAATATTTTTTCTAGCCTATTCGTCTATAACGAAAAGTTAGAAAATAGAAATATGATTTTTAAGTTATTTTCGAAGCCTTTGGGATCGAGACGCGACTATCTATCAGGATTAAGGTAGAGTCATGTAACATTAATTCGCTTTGATGCAGAAATGATAAATATATAGTATTTTAATAAATGGTGCACAAACAGGACTTTTACAGGTTAAAGGCAATTTTCAATTTATGTCTACGCAATGATTCTTATGTCTTTTAATCCTGTTCAGTTCCTTGAATCCGACTGACTAATAGTAATATAAATAGTTATTGATCTAATGTTTGTCGTTGTCCCTTTCACACTTCTTTATTTGACTTTTTCTCTGATTGACTCTTTCTAACTCTAAAAACTTGAAGTTTCCCAATTATTCGGTTAAGTAAACTTTGAACATATAATATAACGATTATATCGATTTGTTTCATCCTTTTTTCTTGAAATAAAAAGTTTATGAAAAAAATGTAAACGAGATAGGGATAAGAGATGTAACTAGTGCTCTATTAACATAAATTCACTGTGATTGTAAAACTTGAACATTTTGACATAAAAAAATCTTACATAGCTCGCTGGTACATAGAATAAATGTGCTGAATAATAGTTTTTGAACTGTGACAGATTTAATAAAGACAAGTTTTACAGAAATCAATGTACAAAATTCATCAAAGTGTACAATCATATGACTTAACGTGTATCAGTTATACTTAGTGCTTTATATTCTTACCAAATGATGCTGTTGAAAGTTATTTAAAGCCATTCATATCCATTCATGATAGAAAAACTTGGCTGATCCTATGATTTGTTACAGGATGCTATGATGATTTCTTGAAAAAATATTTTTACAAAAAAATAAAGAATTTTAGAAACTGCTGAAGACATACAAGGAAGGAGTGCGTATATTTACGCATATTCCTGCTTTTCTCGTTTGTTTTTAACAAAAGAGAAATTAAAGAGTAAGAGATGGAATTCATTTGATCCTGTATTTTTTCGGGCTATTTCAGATGGATTAAAAGCATCTGCCTTGTAAAAAGGTTTACAGCGTAGCTATTCGATCTAAGCCGCTTGAAACTTGTCCTCTCTACATGTCAGATACAAACAACAAACAGAGTCGCACAAGAAGTAAAAGTTAAGCGAATCTTTTAGTGTCAATTAGGTATTTATGGACATTATTTACGATAAGGATGTTTTCTTCTGGGATAAGATTAAGGATACCTTCCCTCTTTTTTCACCCGTTTGCCAAATGCGGAGCACATGTCCGATCGAGTTCAAATTTATAGCAGAGATAGACCATCGAAAAAGAAAATCGATGTATTTTTTGTCCAGAATTTTCTGAGATGTTCTTCTTCTATAGGTTTTCTGCAAAATGCCAGTGTTCATCCAGTCACACTACGACCCCTTGAATGGAAAATGCTGAAAAAAGTGTTTACTCCTGAGATAGAATCCGAAGTATCTATGGTAAAAATTAAGCTCGATCGGACCATTTTTTCGAGTGGTCGTAATGTGACCGGATTGAAGTCACATTACGTCCATGAATCAGCAAAAAATTTTGAATATATAGGAGAGGAGAGAAAAATTTACGATACTAAAAAGTTGGAATCTTTTAGGCTTTGAAGGAAAAAATTAACAACTTTTCAAGGAAGGTCATGGAGAGTTGGGAGCGGTCTCTTTTTAAAGCCCAGACTTTTCTCCACATTAGGCTATGTTCAGCTTAAAATGAAAAGTTTTTACAAAAAAGAGGAGAGTATCCTTAATTGATCCTTTTAGAATGAGTTCAGTCGTTTGTGATAATGCGGTAATCCACTTTATATTATTCAACGGGATAGATCTTTCATGTAATAGAAAGCTGAAGCCTACGCATATGCGGGTCAGATGGATGATATTTATCCAACTTCCTATATTGTACCAAACTGGTAGCCGAGGTGAAAATATAAGGAAACTCACCTATAACACACCATTTTAAAAAAGTTAAAGGACACCCTAGGCTAGCCCAACGACCGAATACTAGATCTACAAAAGACGGGCTACACAATAAATTGTGTCTAAAGACTTAATTCGTTTAGAAAAACTGTAAAAATTTCTACAGTAGTACCAAAATGTCGGCTAGGGGCAGTAAGTAACTCCAAATTTTCAATAAGTAGATTACACAGCAATTTTGCACCTAAACCTCAATCCAATTTTTTTCTTCCTATGGAAGATCGTTGAAAGTTTTGAATAATGTGGTAAAAGGGCAATGATTTTGAAATACAATAAGAAACAAGAAATGCAGATGTTTATAGATAAAAGTATGAATTTTAATACAGTTGTATTTCTTGTTTCTTATTTAGAACTTTTCAACGAATAGCGACGTGTTTTTCGAAATACGACTGGAATTTTTCTTCTATCTAGATTAGATCTATTGTACGTTTAAGAAGTTTTAGTGCTCGAAACTCACCTTCCACCTCCGCTGACAATGTTGTTTGAGTTGAAATTGCCAGTTTATTTGAATGAGTTGTGTCTCGAATTAATCTTAATTTTCTATAAAACTCATGGATTAGCCGCCGTTGAAATAATCGAATTAGAGCTGTTGTTTCTGAGTTGAATAAATCGTTTGCCACAAGCGTTGCACTAACATGATTTGTCGAAAGAAATTGAGCGACTGATGCGGAAGTAGATGTTTGCGCCGATCGACACAATGTGGTCAGTGCTTGGAACTGAGCAAGTCCTGTTTTACGAAAATCAAATCGAGAAACAAATCCACTGCCCATAACGATGTTTGCCAAATAGTCGAGCCATTCAGATGAAACAAAATCACTCGTACATACTTGGTGAAAGGTTGGTTTTATATGAATAAACGTCCCGAGTGCAAATGACAGTTGAGAACACGAACATTTCAGACTATGGCTATAATCAACTTCAAGTTTTCTATAGGTCGAAAACGATGGTGATTCAATATTTACTGTAATAGTTTGTTTGGTTAGTGCCGTGTAAATAACTAATACGACAAAGGATAATGATAATAAAATTAAATATAAACGTGTTGTTATTCGTTCATATCGAATTTCGACTTCGTCAGTTGATCGACTTTCGAATAAGTTTAACGTTTTAATTGATAGAATCAATGTTCGTAAACGCTCGACAAGTGGCATTTGAGACACAATTTATTTACAGGTTTAATAGCATTTGACTGAAATTTCACACAAAATTCTCCATTGTTAAATATACATCGCTCGTTTGTGATACTAATTTATTTGTTTTGTATATGAGCTAAAAGTCGAAAATGATTGAATTTTTAACAGCAGCTGATAGAAGGAAGAAAAATATACATCACAACTGGAAATCGAACTGGAGACAGTGGTATGCAAGACCATTGCTCGGATCGCTGAGCTGTCGAGGCAGCCTTTGATACACAATTTTCTTCCTTAAAGATGCACTATTGAATAGTGACAACGAGGATTTTCTACGTAAATTGATTTTATCGTCAAGTACCACTGAAAGTGAGAACACACCAGAACCATATAAGACTAAATCGCGCTTTTTATATACATTACCGGCTTTCCTACAATAACAAACGGACATATTCTTTTGTAGCGAAGCCGTGACAGTTTTTACGTAAATCCTAATATAAATGATGCTTGTGGTGCTGCTTTTGTAAAATAAAAACATGAATATATATGAAAAGAGTACGACTTGGTCCTGGTGTGTTCTCACTTCCAGGCGTACTTGACGATAAAATCAATTTACGTAGAAAATCCTCGTTTTACTATTTAATAGTGCATCCATAAGGAACAAAAGTGTGTATCAAAAGACTATGTCTCGATAGCTCATCGGTCAGAGCAATGATCGTGAATACCACTGTCCTGGGTTCAATTCCTAGTTGTGATGCATACTTTTCTTCCTTCTTTTAGCTGTTGCTAAAAATTCAATTATCTTATTTTCTCATATGTGTAAGAACGATGAAGACATACTATTCGTATACAAAACATATTGATTTTTATTTGGACATTATCAACCCTAGGAAGAACAGAGCCTTAAGGAAATCAAAACTTGTTGACATATTGTTACCTCGATTGATCTTGGTCTCTGATGAAACGGATTCTTGGAGTAGAATATAGCTAAGCTCCGTTACTAACAGATGTTTCTTTCATACGGTAGTAATATTGTTAATAAAAACATAGAATTACATCTTTTGTTTAGAATAAATATTTTATGTGAAGTGGAAAGAAAAGTAGAAACATCTCTTTTTTGACGATTGTATCCTTACTTAATTGATATATAGATAGAAAATTATAAATGTCGCAAAAATATCTTTATCTTATTAATAGATTAATTCTTTCATGATCAACAACATTTTTTATCTGTTGATGACTCACGAGTTTTGTTGACCCTCTTTGATGATATTTATTCATGATTAGAAACTAACAATACAGTCGTAATATCAACAAAAGATAGCTATAGTCAAACAAGAATAAATTAATTGATTACTATCGGAATTTATCCAGCGTAGTAAAAAAAGATCTACTCCCAATAATATCTTCTTTTACTTTCTCCTCATTTATTGTTTGTTCTGTTCTGTAAAAGTGGTAGTGTTAATAAACGATATCATATTTTCTCTTATACTGATGACAGTAGGATAGTCTGTAGTAGAAAATCAGAATGATGTTATTTCACATTTCGCTGGAGAAACGAGAAACACGAAACGAAAGTTTCAGTGTAGATCAATTGAAGATAGTACACTTTTATCAGCATAAAGAAATATGGTGTCCTCATCAACACTGTCAACACCATAAATTAAAACACACGATGAAAGAGGAGAAAATAAAATAAGATAGTAATGAGAGTAGATATTTCTGCATTGTAAAAAGAGCGTTTTACAAGAAATAATGCGTTTTGTTACTGCTTGACGTTTTATAGTGTGAAATTGTGAATCACAGAAGATATATTTTCTGGCCAGAATTTTGTGTCAATTAAATAACAGTTATACGTAGGTATGCACTAGTTACAGTTTTTTACCAGTTAACTGTAACTATGAAAACTGTAACTGTCATGACTGTGTAACTGTAAAACAGTAACTGTCGTAACTGTAGATAAATATTCTAGAGTGAGTTAGTCTTCTACGATTTGCATACCTTTTAAGAACAGAGACATCCTTAAAATGTATGTAAATCATAGAAGACTAACTCACTCTAGAATATTTATCTACAGTTACGACAGTTACAGTTTTCACAGTTACACAGTTATGACAGTTACAGTTTTACAGTTAACTGTAACTGGTGCATGCCTGGATACGTTATACCGGGTTAAAATGAATATACATTCATGAGGATAATAAGCACATCGTTGATGTGCTTGTTGATGTGATATTTACACGTTTCTTAGGTATATTATATGAAAATTAGGTAACCCAATACTGGTAAAATAGTGAGTACTTTTTATCGCTATTTTGATTTTAATACACAGTGATTCAGCGTCATAGTGGGTAGCTTTTTTTAGGCTTTTAGCTTTCCAGCCTTTTCCTTGACGGTTCCAAATAACCTCCTTTATTCCTTTTTGTTCTCATCAATCAATCTTCCGTAAGATTAATATCTCACGATCTGAAGAAAAGGTTTCGAAAAAGCGGTGAAAGCAGCTATGGCCTGCATACGGGCAGTGTGGAGACATATCCCGATTGAGATATCAAAATAATCTATATTCTCATCAGGATATCAAAAATTTTAATTTTTAATTTGTAAGAAAATGATAAATTTTAATTTTTTATATGAGAATTGAATATTCTTCTGCTAGTATTCCCTTTTGTTTCCGCCAGCTGATCGAAGAGACACGTATATCTTTTTAACAAACGTAAATAGATTTCTTCTATTAGTCATCTTTCATATATGAGTGCAGCATAAAATATAATAAAAGATAGAAATAAAAGTCGCTAACACACACGCTTGCATCTGCCATACATTTTTGTAACTTTCTTGTCTTCTTCAACTTCTTATAACTATCAATAATTCACTTGATTCAATTGTATCTTTTTAACAGACGTTTTCCCGTTAGTCGTTTTTACGACGAAATTTCGTATTTATATCCCGATCGGGATATAAATTCGAGTAAAATTTTTGTTAAAGATTTTTGTTCGAAAAGATAGTTGCTGGGTGCTTGATGCACTTTTGATCAAACACAACAGAATCCGATGTAGTTTTCCGAGCTCCTTCTAATGGTGACGTCAATTTTTCCCCAAAACGTCGTAATTTTTCCTTTCATCGTTTTCACGACGAAATTTTGTGTTTTATATCCCGATCGATATTAAGTTTTTTCTATATCCTGATCGGAGTACAGGAGGTGTCCCCTTACTAACGGACCTCTTGGATAGCTTGATAAGCTCAATAAGTCCTTTTGCAAAGCAATTTGTGCTCAGATCGTATGGCTTCTCTTACATAACTTTCGAAATTTATTCATTCCTCTACATTTAAGCACTAATATAAGATAATAAGATTACTCAATGGAACCTTATATTATAAACCTGTAAAAAGGCCTTAGATGAGGGAGGTATGTAAGAGAAGTAACACAGTTTGCGGAACAAATTGGTTTCCTACAGAAAAAACGTATCATGCCTATAAAGATCTCCAAGAGCGCTTTTATGCGGTCACAAACCCTAGCAAACCCATGTTACCCATTATCGTGCAATTAAAACGGACAAAAACATTTTATGCATTAAAATGCACAAGGTTTTAACAATGCACTTACTTTGTTACACATGATGAATTCCGATAGTAATCAATTACTTTATTCTTGTTTGACTATAGCTATTTCGTTTATTGATGTTACAACTATATTGTTAGTTTCTAATCATGAATAAATATCATCAAAGAGGATCAACAAAATTCGTGAGTCATCAACAGATAAAAGATGTTGTTGATCATGAAAGAATTAATCTATTAATAAGATAAAGATATTTTTGCGACATTTATAATTTTCTATTCATATATCAGTTAAGTAAGGATGCAATCGTCAAAAAAGAGATGTTTCTACTTTTCTTTCCACTCATATCTCATCCCTAACTTGATAATTGCGATCAAACAGTAGTATTCACAGACTGCTCTTCTATGTACTGCACAACAAATGTATGTTCTTGAATATGACTGAGTGGTTTGACCGACTACCAATCTGTGTTTTTGTGCACTATTGCAGTTTCAATATCGTGATTATTTATCAGTCTATGATTCTCTCTGTGAAAAATTCAACTATTTTCCATCCTATACCATCGGTAATCCAGATAAAACGTCATTCGTGAAAAACAGCTCTATTTCGAGAAGGGAAACAGACGTTAGGTAGTTAAAAGAAGATTCTTCTTTTACACGGGAAAGACGAAACAGAATCTATTCAAATTCACTTTTGCACAAGATATTATTACGCATCCAAAAACATAGTGGGCTTTGACGTTTTTTGAGTAACGTTAAGCTCAGTTCAATTTATTTAGAAATACAAACAACCATACAGTAACCAAAAGGTTAGCAAACGAAAACTTATCTATAAAAGTTCCGTCAATATATCCGAGAGAAAAACAATGAAAGAAAGTACAACCCAAAAATAAATCTAGAAATAGAAGAAAGAGAAAAAGAAATGAAAACAGGAACAACAAGCAGCAAATGGCAGAAAGAAGTTATTTCAACCACAGAAGAAAATGAGAAAGAAAAGAGAAAAAACATAAAAGTACTATCTATACCAAAATACAGTGCCGGGTGCCACTTTTTGAATAACTTTTGATAGGAATGAGATAGAGACCTGCGATTTTCGCTGGTCAAT